AATTATACAGTTACATCACTAGACAATACTAATAATTTGAGCAAACTGAAAAACTTTCAACATGAAGGTTGATCTTTCATTGCTCTTACACATGATTAGAAATAGGAATGTCAGATGTTTTGGCTTATGCTCTTCATTAGGGTTGTGGGATATGAAAACAAAAAATAATATCACAATATTTTTGTTTCAATATTGGTACTTGTCTGTATATATTTTTTTGGAAGCACCATATCTTAGTATAGTTGATATGTGACGGCGATGGTTATTTCTTTATGCCTTTTTTAACATTTTTGATGACATTTTTAACATTTTGGAATCTGCCATTGTTTTTCTATGTAAACACACGTGTAAACACGTCTTTAAATGTTGCGATCACGTCTTTTGCAGCATCTCGCCCGTTGACACGGCATCCTACACGACGCTCACCGTAAAAGTTCAAGTTTTTAACCGTCTCTAGACCTGTGCCTCATGTTTTTGACCTCAATAACACAATGCTCCCATTCTGTTTTGCTGCAACGATAGTTTGACAGGTCTAGCAAATTATCTGGCTCTATGATATACATCTTCTCTCCTGTATTCAAAATATTCCCAAACCACAGATGTTGATTTTATTTTTAGGGCACATTCTTATCCTGCCCTAAATTCACCATCCCTGTTTCAGTGATTTCCTATATGTCAGTAAACCAAATGTTCTGTTCTCGCACTAGATTTAGGCACGCTGCATTCAGATTGCACACTGAGGGGGCTGGCGGAAAAAAAACCCCACATGCTCATATCACGATTTTATTACGAATTCGATTAATCGCACAGCCCTACTCGTCTCTTCGTACATATTATTTTCATCCTAGGCCTTCAATAAAGGATGAGTTGAACCGTGAACCATGAGACACTTTTATCAATGTGCAAAGTCACACCACCCCAGGCTTGACAAACAACTTGCATCATGATCTTAGCTACTGTCTCAACTTTGGCTTACAAGGTCAAAATGAGCTCTGACAACCCAGATTACAAGTCACCCTGTCAAACGATTTCTACTTCTAACTGTAATGAGAGGAACCGGTTTGTGCATATGTGCAGAAACGGTATCCTCGAATATATTCCTCTCATCAGCTAGTTCAGTTTGATCATTATGGCTGAGTTATTGAGCATAATGAAATCAGACTGCGGCTGCTGCCAAGCTGTGACTGCTACCACAGTATCAGTCAAGCTTTGGAAGATTTCTCAAAACCTATGACGTGCAGGAAACAACCGATTTGGTTCAAACCTTTGCTCACAGTTACACAAGACAGATCATGTGAGAAGTCCAAAAGAAATCTGTGCATGTGTGCTTGCACAAAGGCATCTTTGTGTGTGTGTGTGTGTGTGTGTGTCAATGTTGGGACCTCAGAAAGAGAGAGAGGCTGTGGTCATGTGTGCTCGGATGAAGATTACTCTGTTCTGCATTTCAAAACACAACATTTCCTACGACTTCAATCGGATTAAATGGGCACAAAACTCCTCAGAAGACCCACAGACCGGAGAACATCTGTAGCAAAACCAACAGAATTTATGAATTTATGTTGATAATTATGATAAGCTCTGGACATTTTTACTCGATATGGATGAATCTAACAGCCAATCACACAGCAGAAATAAATACAACAACAGCTAGACAGTTAATGTCGCTAATACGTGATTTCTGGTTGTCTCTGTGTATCAGACGCTCACTGTGTTTTCAGCGTCTGCTGTCTCAATATTTGAGGAGTTAGGACATGAACACACAAACTCCATCTCCAGAGCTGCTTTGAGAGTCACTTCACAAGCTTTTCACCATTTCATTTGAGAAAAACTACCATCAAATAGTACACACCAAAAGATCTTCATGACAAACCGTCAAAATAAAGGTTCGGTTTAACTCCGGTCTCCGGGTCGGATTTTCTGCGAAATCCATCGAATGTGACGTGCAAGCGCGCTCCCGAGCCTCTCTCCTTTTTATATACAGTCTATGCGACGGCACTGCAGCGAACGACATGGAGTCTGATAACACCAAAAAACGACCTGCCTCCAGCACAACACACACTCCAACACAAACTCCACATAAATATAAAAAACAAAACAAAAATGTATTTGCTGAAGCTCGTCAGGCCAAACGTGAATCGGATCGACTTTAGGACGAAAACACGGATCAACATCGGCAGAGCGTTTGAATTATGGAGAGACCTCCGCTATTTTTGCTGTGCTGTGCTGTGCTGTGGCCCTCGGGTGGACACCTGAAGGAAGAAGGAAAAGAGGCCGCCCAAAAACAACATGGCGGAGAATGGTGGAACTGGAACGAAACGGTGCAGGCTGGAACACGTGGAACACAGCACGACGTGCAGCTGCAAACCGAACCCAATGGAGGAGTGATGTCCAAGCCTTGTGTGGCTCCGGGCACGGAGAGAATTAAGTAAGTTAAGTTCCGCTATTTTTACTGTGATAAATTACAAGTTTTCAGATATGCTGAAATAAATAATGGTAAACTGTAATGAAATGGCAAGGTAAACTACAACATATATGAGACATGAAATGAATACAAAAGACTGTTCCAGGATAACAAAAAATAGGTGCTTTAGGATGTAACTTTTATTTTATGTAGGCTACTAGATCTACTGTCTAACGTCACTCATCCCACTACGATCATATTGTTTATAATACACATTTCTAGACACGTTCAGTACAGTAATGTTACTTCCTACGATCTTACTGTTACACTGAAACTGTTCAGTCTGGTTCACTAACTGTTTTCGTTATCATATTATACATTCACCGATGTTGACATTGCTGATTGTGAAAGATACACAAATAGTTAGTGAAATGCCTTATGCTAGATAACACCACAAATGTAACGTTATCATGGTACGAGCATGGAGCATTAGTTCAACGTCAAGCTGATAAAAGTAGCCTATTATTGTAACGCTGCAGTGGGAGTTTACATGAGTTTCCAGCATGTTGTGTGATGCTTTCTCCGGTGTGTTGAAAGTCTCAGTGTGGCCGGTACTATGAGTGCTCGCTCTTGTGTTCGAGCACGCGCAAGAGCACGAGCGCTCTTGTAAAAATTGTTTGCAATCTTAAACATCACCGATAGAGGCCGCTAAAAAATACATATAGCACCTTTAATTGTTATATTTCATTTGATTACATTTTAAAAGCCTGATTAAATTGATAAAGTTGATATAAATTTGTATTAAATCATAAAACACAGAATCCCAAAAAATAAAATAAAATGGAAAACACAGAGTTTAGGAAAAAATAAAAATAGATTTCATGGAGCCCTAAATTGAAAGGTAGCTACTCTGTGGAGTTTAATTGTGATGTTTACATTCATTCTCAAGGTCTAACAAATAAGTGGAAAGCATTTCCTTCCCCATTAATGGTAAATGAATATCGTGTCGTGATAAATATCGATATCATATTTTTGGCCATATCGCCAGCCCTACGTCAAACATTTTTTCCATTCGAGAAGCTATATCACTCAGATATGCATCACAATAGGTAAGAAAAGACGATCGCAATTTATGCTTCCGGCCGACTTTAAGAAAACCAAATAGAGACAAACAACACACTGATTTGGAATGAGGAGCCAGTTTTACAGGACCATTTATCTGCTATGACCTCTAGTAACCTAATCAAAAACAACATGACAGGAAGATGACAAAACTGCAGTGACTCACCACCACATTTCCCAAACACACACATAAGAAGCTATCACTACTCGCTCAGATGAAGGATGGGAAAAGTTTCTTTCGAAATTTAAGAGGAACTTTTGGAAGTTCCAAGAAAGTTGGGTGTGATTCAAATGATTCCCATCTCTCTTTCTGTACATAAGGCTACTTTACTGACATCTGCTTGAGGTGAGCAGTTTGCCAGGGTGTCTGGTAGTCAGTCAGGACTTTCTGCTCTACCTTCTGCTCACCTCCATGAGTGATCTCTCAAGAATCCAGATTCAGTTCTCAAGAACTGCCAGATTCACATCTCTTCTCCAACCCAGATCTGGAAAAACAGCTCCACACCTGAGACGGGCCTCAATGCTTCCAGCACATAAAAACAACTTCCCTCACCTCCTTTTTAACACAATCACACACTTCCATTGTCTGCGAGAGGAAAGCCATCTCTCCTGATGTCCCCTCAGACTCTAGTGTGATCTTAAAACAACTTATGAGAGAATTTCCCACAACAGATCAGAACAACTAAACTTTCCCTTCAGCAAATGGTCTGTGCAGAATCAATAATATGGCAATAGATGTGAAAAACCTACAATACAAACAAATTAATTTGACAAACATTTGAAAATCTGAATGCATAGAGTATATATTTTTATTATTTACACTACTATTCAAAGGTTTGCCTATCCAAAGTTGCATTAAATCAAAAATACAGGAAAAACAGCAATATTGTGAAATAGTTTTACAATTTAAAGTAACTGTTTTCTATTTTAATATATTTTCAAATGTAATTTATTCTTATATGGCAATCTGAATTTTCAGCAGCCAATTAGTCCAGTCTTCAGTGTCACATGATCCTTCAGAAATCATTCTTATATGTGATTTGCTGCTCAAGATACATTGATCATTATCAATGTAGAAAACAGTTGTGCTGCTTAATATTTTTAATGGAGACCATGATGCATTTTTTTTATAAATAGAAAGTTCAAAAGAACAGCGTTTATTTGAAATGGTAATTATTGTAAATTACTTTAATGTCACATTTGACCAATTTAAAATCTGAATAAATTAAGTTATTCTAAAAAGACATTTACTGACCTCAAACTTTTGAATAGTAGTGATATTGTTATTTATAATGTTTTTGACATATTTTGCAGGTAAGACAGCAGTTATTGAAAGCAATCGTCAACATAATAAAACATTTCATCATATGCTAGAGTGGCAGAAAAATGCACCAAAATAAACAAATATGACAATAACCAAATGCTTTTCATCATTAAAAGCTAAAAGCACAAGCATGGATGTATAAATAGTCCTAACCTGCAAAATGATTCCTCCATAAAATATCAGCGATAGTCATTGGTGGGCCAGCGGCAGGGTGATGTTTACCTTTGTCATGGTCAGTCATAATCATGTCCATTAAGGAATTCTCCAAAGTTTGCAAGCTGAACGGGTCAAAGGGTCGATTCCGTTCCTGAAAGACAGAAGGAAGGGGTTAACGATGGTTTTAAGGTAAAGATGAGCCACAAAACCGCCATTTCAAATTAGTCCAGGGGTTAGAGCCCGTTTACACCTGGTATTAAGATGCGTTTTGGTCGATCGGATCACAAGTAGATGAGGGAGACACATTCCCGTTTACACCTGGTGTTTTAATCCGTCTCTTTTGTCCACTTTCAACAACTTCTGTCCTGATTTCTTCAAAGGGAGGGTTTATGGCCGAGTAAATGTATGGGCTTTTTCAGATCTTTCGATGTAATGGTCGAAATAAGCTCATGCAATTTACATGAACGCTCCCGTTGACGACGGGAAAACATACGGAGAGCATCAGCTTTTGTTTCTGCTCCGTGATGCAAGAGCAAGTGTGTGTTAGAAATCAGGAATGGTGAGAGAACATTGTGCTTGGAACGAAACTTGGGTCTCCAGCCGACAAAATTTAAAAAACATTTTGCTAGTGCGCTTCCCATTATGTTTACGCGTTAAGTCAGTAGGCGGAGAGTAGGTGGTCTTTTGTGGCTGGTTAAACACATTCGACCACATGAGCGTCTACACCACGAAAGCAATCCGGTTGAGTGCGTTTCGGACTACCTCTGGAAGTGGTCGAAAGTGGACAAGCTCAAAACATTTTAGACACTGTTTACACCTGTATTTAGTGTAGTCCACTTGTGATCCGATCGACAAAAATGCATCTTAATCCCAGGCGTAAACAGAGCCACAAACTGGATTAACTGGCTGAATCTGTAATCATCAAAATAAACTTGTGTGGAAACAACTCATTCATTGTGCTTCCAGTCCATGTAATATGTTGGACGTTGTATCTGGCAAATAAAACTAAAACTATTCAAAATTATTTTCAGCAATTGAAATAAAGCTGAAAAAAATATTAGATGAAAAAATTAAACTTGATAAAGTAGAAAATGAGAAATTTTACCTTGGGAGGTAACTGAAATAAGTTGATGTAGTAAAATCACTAAAACTGAAATACAAATAAAGCTTAAAAAAAATGGAGGAAAAAAAATGAAAAAAGCTATTTTTTTTAAGTTTTAGTTTACTTTTTTTAGTTAAAAAATATACAAATTAAGGATATTTTTTAATATTATTAAATAATATAATAATACATAAATAATACTAAAATAGCACAGGACTATAAATTACATTAAAGGAATAAGAAATTAAGAAATTAAACGAAATTGTGTGTAGACTTGTGACCAGAATATCTTTCTCTCAAAAAAAAATTCACAAACAAATGAAGTGGAGTATTCCTTGTATATATTTGCTTGAAAATGATCAAATCCAACCAAACTGGAGAGATTAATTCTTCCTCAAAAGTGCTATACGTTATAAAAGCAACTTTGTTTCCAGAGAGACTTCAATCTGTGTAAAGCCAGCCAACCCGACCGAAAATGGTGAGTTTAGTCAGCAGTCAGTTTCATCAGACGGTCGGTGAACAGACTGGGCATCCCGTCAGTTTGTAGCAAGTGTTTAAATTCACAGTAGGCTATATGATAACACATTGGAAATAATGACTCAGCATTATCTATTTTTTTATCAGAAGTGCTGTGAATTTTGAACTTTTGCTGTTCCACATGACTACTAAAGAAGATGGATAATATGCATCATCATCTCTACCTAAATGTTTCTCCTGCCCCCCTGCTAGTCAAACACAAATCAGATGAGATTGCCAGTCCACTGTGTGTGCAATTAAACAAGTTAAAGAGAACGAGCAAGAGAATAAAGGAAAAGTGAAAGAGAGAGTGAGCCGGTGAAAGTGTGCGGATGAATACGGCAGTGGGCAGAGGCCAACCGAGGGAAGCACATTGTTTGCACATCGAGCCTATTGTCACGCAACTGGCTGAGCATTCAAAAAGCGATATTTCCCCTCTCAGGTTCCAGATAAAAATCTGCCCACTTTGTGAAAAGCATGAGCAATCAAAACGCTGAGCTCCTCACTTCAGTCACTATCAGACACGAGCCACACATATTTCAGCATTAAACAACTACACACACACATGCCACATCTTGTTATTGTGGCAGCCTGCTTGCATACTGTATATATAGAACTAGAAACTACATACGTTCCTTCCTAAACCAGTAGTCTATCAAATAGGCCTATGTTACATTTGTTATATTTCTATTTTTTCTTTGGTTTAAAAAAAAAAAAAAAAAACACTTTACATTGTAACTCCAATGGATGCATCAAACTTCCTTGATTTGGTTTTTAATGATGGTATTGTATGCATTGAAGGAATTCATGCAGTGACGTACAATATCAGGAAACTGACAGCATTGTGGGCAAAACTGCACGAAATCAGACTCAAAATAACACTTGTCATGAGAAAAAAACTAGTGTTCAGCTAATACGGTAAGCGTTTGCCCAATGTTGAGTGGATTGGATATGTGTTCTATACAATGTGCATTCAAAACAAACACAACATTCACTAAAATATCTGAAAACAGAAAAGATCCATTTACAAGATGACCCTCACATGCACAAAGACAGTTCAAGTTAAAACAATTTAAAAAATAAATGCAAATAAAATTGCTCCTTTAATTGCTTCTCATGCCCAGTATTTTTGTCACAAATTTCGAAGTAGAGTTTAGCTAGTTTTTACTAAAGTTAGTAAAAGTGTACTCAGACGGTGTACATGACTCATCAAAAAATGAATGAGCATACATAATTAATTCCTGCCAATTATGAAGAAAAACATTGTATCGAACAGAGCAGAAGCAGTTAACACTTTTCAAATCTAAAGAATTAAGCTTTGTTAAAACAAAAATATCAATGCCCTCTATCTGAGAATATGCTACAATGTTTCCGTTCATGATAGCAGCGCAGGCCCCGCCCCCTCACTCAACAAGCACCAATCAGATTCGAGTGGTGTTTCCTTTAAACGCCCACAAACGAGCTGCAGGAGAGCCTCTGATGGGAATTTGAACCCTTCCACCTTACAATGACATTTATAGATACAGCTGGAAAATAATTCAAAACAACTCTTCCTTACAGTCAGAGAAATGTATTAGAGATACCAGACTTATTGGTATTTCTGTAAATTTTAAGTATAAAGAGTATACATAAAAAGAAGGGAATTTACTTTAGTCAAGTCCTTCAATACAAATAAAAACAATAAAATGACATTCATGTAAATAAAAAACTTCGCAGTTTTGTATTGTATTTAAATTGTTTTAGGATTATAATGATGCAATTTTATAAAGGTCTATTAATTATGATAAATATATGCCTATAAATTGTTTTATGACCATTGATACATTACATAGCCTTTATATATGCAGAAAGCCTATGACTACACATTTTATTTTATTCATATTTTGAGGCAATATGTCTATACTTTATCATGATGATATGTTGTCCAACTATTACGTATAAATTATATGATTTATGTCTAAAAAATACGTCAATAAATTTCGTTTTGTTTCTATGATGGATGATGCATTATTTACTGAATAATCTCACCTGAAATGGCAGCATGTTGTTGCTGTTGTCGGTTCTAAATGGTTCCGGAGGCTCTGAGATCATCCAGGGTTTCTGCATGGCCCCGGGTCTCTGGTATTTCGGAGGGGCGATGACATTGCTCGGGAAGGGCTTCTTCGTCGGGGAGATGGGGTTGAGCGGAGACGGGACGCCCAGCCCGAGCGCTCTCTGCCGCGGGTCTCTGCCGCTCCAGGGGTTCGCCGCGGAGCTCCACGCCGCGTTCTGGTGATTATTCCAGGCGGACGAAGAAGCGGACGACGCGGACACTTTATTGATGAGGGTCTGGTGGCTGTAGGGGTTCCTCTGGTTCACACTCATCGGTGATCTTCTCATCTGCGGAGAAAAACTACCTCCGAACACCGGGTTGACGTGATGGGGAAAGTTCTGAAAAAGCATCGTGCCGTTTACCGACGGAATCCCTTGGAAATAGCCCTCGTCCACAGTGTTTGTGGACCAAGTGCTGCCGAACGACGGTGAGAGAGAGGAATCCTGAGGGAAACCCAGACCCGGTAATACCGGAGACTCCATGGCGACCCGCTCGGAGTGACCGACGTGATTCTGCTCGTCCAGGATCGGAGGCTCGGAGGGGGTCGGGGTAGATGGAGGCTCTGTATTTGACGGGTCTTGGTGCTGGTAAGGCTGAGCTTTGCTTTTGTCCATCAGTAAATCATCCTGCATGTTTTGAGCTGAAACACAGATGATCAGTTATTATTGATCACACCGATCGGGCTGGGATTATTATTATTAATGAGCCCCTGATCAGCCATGTATCAGCGGCAGCAGCCCGGGATCTGTCTGCACTCCGGGTTTACTCATGTGTGTCCCAACACGACTAAAGGAGAAGAGCTCGGAGGTCACCGATATTCACCAATTTTCGCCACGTCTCGTTTTTCTCTCACCGGAACTCCAGACAGAAATGAGAAACTGATTCTTGTTCCTGTTTTTTTCTTTTCACAAGCCCCGCCCCTCAATTTGCATACGTCAATAAATACAGAAGCGTCCTTCAGCAAGGTTAACTGTTTTATTCACATAAATACACGAGGAAAATCGGTTTGCAGTTCACTTTTAAGAGTGTAGCTTGTGCCATAAGACTCCTCAATACATCCGACATGTGCAAAGACTTTTTCTACTAAAATACTAACGTGCAAGAGTTTCTCTGCTATTTTAAACATGTAAAACATGACTGGTGGTTCAATGCATCACACAAGTGCTGATACTTGATGTGAATCCCTATGCAATATAATGCATGTGCTTTAGTGCGTCAGACAATACTATTTGTTGTTCTGTAGCCTACTTTTACTCATTTACTCACCTTCAATTTGTTCCAAACCAATCCTGTATGATTTCTTTTCTTCTGCTGAACACAAAATAAGATATTTTGAATAATATGGGTAACCAAACAGTTGATGGGTCCCATTGAGTTCCAAATCAGAAACTGTTTACTGACATTCTTCAAAATATCTTCTTTTGTGTTTAACACAAGAAAGATAATCACACAAGTTTGGAACAACTTGAGGGCGAGTTATGATAACAGAATTTTCATTTTTGGGTTTACTATCCCTTTTAATGTCCATGATGTCTAAAATGTTATACTTGTCTATTGTAGCTAATGTATGCAGTGCAAATTGTTGTGTATCTTGTTTGTAATGCAGACTAAGCTATTTCTTGTGTATTTATACAATCAATAAGGTAGGCTTGTTACATATAAACACAAAATGCAAAGGGAAAAACATGTAGCCTACAGTTCTAAGCATAAGTTTGCAACATGTTTAGACATTTTGCTTGGATGGTGTACAACCGTCCATGGCACAGCTCAGCAACTAGGTTATATTTGCTGCAGGATCTTGGGTTACACCCATGCTGCACAAAACACACGCAACAGAAATCCCAATAACAGCTCTGGAAGTTTTTCCACTTCATCTGGCTGTATTACAAACATATCTGAGACATATCTCTATTTGGCACCCTTCAAGTAAAATAGCTATTTCGTCAAGCCAAGGGTTACCATTTCTGCAGCTATATACGCTGATAAGCAAAACGGATCGAACGAAAAGAGATTTTATTCAACAGTATGAAAAAGTACATCAATTTCAACATACCTCTTGAGGGTTTCTACGATGCCAAATATATTCCCATGAAAATCAGGCCGAGAATGCGACAGATTCAGCGAGCCTGATGGATTTATGAACTCAATCTTTAATCAAATTTTAATCAGAATAGACGATCGTAACAAGATGAAGAGCGTTTCTGCCAAATATTCCGTCCGTTAATCCTCGTTTCGCTGCATTAGAGCTGCATATTCAAGGTCATAATAGAAACCATCACACCAGAGCACGCGCTGACCAGCTAAATGACAGTAAATAAGACCGTCACAGCACATGCATGTATATTATAATGCATTTCAAAAATGCACCGGGTTATCGGAAAGGGAAAGAAATCAAATTCAACACTTTAATCCGCGCACACAACTCATATTAAACAGATAACATGCATCTGACGGATTGATTTTTTTTCTCTTTTGCTTGCTTTTTTCTTGCCGTACATGAATCAGACTTTACCTTGTCGTTCACCTTTTGGGATTCTGTAAATAAGACTATTCTGTTTGTCTCGCCTGGGTTTTGGTATGACAGATGAGCTGCCCTTCTGCAGTCGCCTCAACAGCTGATTGACTGCGGCGCATGGCTAATGCACTGAGGGATTATGGGAATTGTAGTTTTTTTTTTTTTGCTCACTTACAGCCATCGAACTCATGACGTTGCAAAGCTTACACTAACATGCAAATAACAGTATTTATCAGCCAGCTTTAGTCCAAATACATTATGCTTCAAAGTGTTTGGCTTTTAAATTGGCTACTAAATATATTATATTATTTATTTATTTTATTAAGTAAATTCATGAAGAATTAAGCACCCTTATGCTTAGGAGATATACCTACTACCTGATATAGAGTGTTGTTAAGCAACAAAAACAATCTGTTCTTGTTGCTTAACAACAAAAACAACAAAAACGTTGTGTTTTGCCTCATAGCTGTTCCTATATTGTGGCTTTTAGCATGGCAGAATGCTGTATTGAACAAAAAGAAGGACCAGATCTATTCATTTTATAACCCAATATTAAGCCAGATTTTGTGACACTGACAGTGTTTGCATGTGTAACAAAACTACATAAAAAATGACCTTCAAGTGATGAAAGAACAAAGTTTGAAGCATTCACATGGCCTTTCACATTGTCAGGTTTTTTGGCATAATCTATGTAAGATAGATTAAACTGTAAAATAGATTAAACTATGTAAGATAATAAACACAACAAAAGCATGCAAATCTGCTAGTGGCTCCATATTCACCCCTGTCATTTATTTATGAAATAGCCTATATGAACTAAAATTACAGCTTTATAAAATAATTTAATATGAAATACAGAAAATGCTTGTCAATTTAAGTCTCATTTGTAATAATGAACTCAATAAAAGAAACAAGTAAGGATCAAAACACCTCAGCAATACACTTTATAATTTCCTAACCAAATGCTATAAGAAATGGGAAATGAATTAAGCTCTAACAAATAACATTATTATTTTTAGATGCTCTTTGCCATGTTAAATAAAATATGAAATCAAATAATATAGCCTAATAATTGTACTGAAATATGCTGACTCTTCTTACCACAGTACGAGGTATTCTGAAGCCAAATATGTATCTTCATGTTGCTCCAGCAGGCGTAGTCCCTCTTGCTCTGGGCTGCCTGCCTCTGCGAGAACATAAATTTTTATATTTTTGGCTACACGTAAGGAAGACTACACGTCCCAGAGTGCATCTGTAGCCTCGCGAGAGTGAAGTTAACGCTCGCACATGCGCGGTTTTGCGTCCGCTCGCGTTTTCTCACGCGCAGTCAATGGAGTCACTGCGTGTTTGTGGAAATACAGACTTCTATGAATATTCATTAACAGATCAGTTTATAATACTTAATTTAAATGGTTTATAATCGGATTCCAGCTGTTGCTTGATGTCAGTAAGGTGTTTATATGCGTGTTTAACACGGCGTTACGATTCACTGCGGCCTGACGATTAAATCTCTATCATAGTTTAGTTTTCAGTCAGTAATCAAGTGTGTGGACTCATGTAAATATGGCAGACGAGGGAGCGGTTGTGATGCAGCAGATTGTGGACAGGTGAGTGAAATAAATAGAATGTAAACAAACGGCTATGTCAGCTACATAAGCAGCCAGTCAGTATATATACATATATATAGGCTTTATATAGTTATTAATATTCTTAAAGAACAATTATAGTAGCTAATGAGTGATTGGTTACCGGTTTAGAGCTTTTATGCTCTGTTAGTGTTACTTACACGATGTGACGTCTTTAGCGAGGGGGCGTGACCTTGAATTGGCCATTTAATTTTGTTTTGATTCAGTCTTACTCCTTTTGTTTATTTAGCCTACTTGTAGATAAGTGTTTACCAACCCCTGCTCTAAATATACATATTTGAAAACGATATGTAGAACAGATTTTTATGTTCTTTCCAATTTTGACACAATTATAGTAGGTTTACTATTATACTACAGCAACAATAATATACGTACATGATAATATCATTATTGACAATAGTTATTAAAATGTTTTTTTTTTTATTATGGACAAAGTAATATTTGACATAATTGACAATAATAAAAACGTAATAATAATTTTGTTATTATTAATGTGGTCTTGGGCCATGTGTAGATACTAAGCTTAGCATGTTGTTTCTTGAATGGCTGTTATATAAGAGTAAGTTATGTGAGCAGTACTTTACTTATTAAATAAGTTAGTTTATCTGTGAAATGCTGTTGTTTTCTGTTGAATGTAGCATAAATGCATTTTGTAATGTCATATTATAAAGTATAAAAAGTGCTTATATCACTTCTTGCATACAAATGTATGTTATTTGAGTTGTTAAGTTGATTAAATTATCTTTTTAAGCAGTGGGATTACATCTGGTTATGCATAGATGTAAATCTTGGCTTAGCATTTTTGTTATATTTGTATGTGTCATGTGATTGCAAATGTTACTGGGTTTACCAGTTTACATTTCAGAAGTTGAAAAAAAAATAGTGTTATGTCAACACATTTTGACTTCATATCATAATAATATGATCATTACATTACCAATGTTGTATGTTTTACAATCTGTGGTATGATTGGGGTTTATTTTCTGAGTTAATCAACAAACACAGCTTAACTTGTATTGACCCCAGAATATTTATTTAATAGTAAAACAGTCGTAAAAAAGTCATGAGGCATGATTTCTGTTTGATCTGACTTGCACACCTGACCATGATGGTTTTGGAAAAGCTCAAAGAAGCTTTTTGCCACATGACTTGTGTGATGTTGATTCTTGAGTATTATGAGATTTAACTTTTAATGAACCCAGCTAGGAGGACAGAGTGCCCTGGAGAAGTTTATAATGACACTGTTGTTGTGGTCAGTTTTTACAGATTGACCCTCATGGGTCATAAATATTGTATATTCCCTATAATTGCAGATTTTCTAAATATAGGAGCATTTTTTGGTAAATTACATGGACAAGTTCTCATTTCAGTAATTATGCATTGGGTCACTGTGTCGAGTCGAGCTGTTCGGTGTCCTGACCTCGTCTTTGTTTTTCCACTGAGACTGTCCTGTTTGCCTGAGGGCCAGCGCTTGCAAAATGAACTAGAAAATTGATGCTGCTGATGTGACACACACTCGAGCAGATCTGTCCTTCCACTCGACAGCAAGATGCTAGAATCTTTCATATGCTTGCACTACCATTCAAAAGTTTGGGGTCAGTAGTTTTTTTATTTTAAGAAATTGATACTTTTATTCAACAAGTATGCATTCAATTATGGAAGCTTGTTTCCGCCACGGAATAAAAATAATAAAAAGGTAATTTTGAATTTTGTTAATTTGCCATTCTGGTTTCTTTGTTTTTAAATTCTCTGAAAAAAGTAAGAATTGCTAGATATAAACCCCCTCAGAATTGTGACATTTGCCATTGCGAGTTATAAGTCTGAATTGTGAGATATAAACAATTTCCTTTTTTATGAATTTTTTTATTATGTGGCGGAAACTAGCTTCCATATTAAATTGATCACAAGTGTCAGTAATGGCATTGATAATGTTACAAAAGATTTCTAATTCAAATAAATGCTGTTCGTTTTAACTTCTGTTCATCAAAGAAAACATGTCACTGTTTCCACAAAAACATGAATCAACAGTTTTCAACATTGATTCAAAATAAGAAATGTTTCCTGAGCAGAAAATCCGCATATTAGAATGATTTCTAATGGATCATGTGACACTGAAGACTGGAGTAATGATGCTGAAAATTCAGATCAGAGGAGCAAATTACATTTAGTAATATATTCAAATTGAAAACAGTTATTTTAAATTGCAATAATAATTCACAATATTTTTTTTTTTTACTGTATTATTGATCAAATAAATGCAGCCTTGGTGAGCTCTTCTTCCAAAAACATTAAAAAATCATAGCAAATCTTAGCAACCCCATTCCTTTGAACATGCAGCTAGTGAGGTGAGTTTTGAACATGTCGTCGTCTCATACTTCTGTTTACATTTCAAGGAAAAGTATATTTAGAGGCAAGTGCTGGACTTGTGTTAGTAAAGTGGATTATTGGCACATTAGACATATCTGTGTCAGTTGTCATGGTGAAAGCTCTCATCTCTCTCAAACGGATCCTGCATCCTACTCTAATGTCCGTCACTGAGGCAACAACCTTCACAGGTCTGTGTGAAGCAGATAGCCGTTCAGCAGCATGAAGCTCTATCAGATTCACACACACACACACACACACACACACACACACGGTCTTATCAAGGCCTGCCACCCGCAGCTGCTCTCTCTGCAGTGCAGCTCTTCACCGGTTGAAAAGACGGGGTCATGCTTAAATCCTGTCTGACCTTTACGTGGCAGACACTCTATCACCCTCTTTTGTTCTCGTCGGTATTCAGAAAGCTGGCTCCATTTATTTTGGCTGTTTTTAAACCTCACTTTCTCTGCCTTATTGTTTTTCCCGGCACAGCTTTGATGTGTTTCCACATCATCATGGATAAAACAGGCCGTGAAATAATTTTTTAAAAGCCATGAAATAATCCAGCATCTTTTGGACCTTATTGGTGTTATGTTCTTTTTGATTGAAATGTGGTTTTGCATGGTGTCACTGTCTACTAGGGATGTATTGGTACACAGAAGTCACGGTTCAGTACGTACCTCGGTTTTGGGGTCGCGGTTCGATACGAGTTCTGTACAACAGGAAAAAGCAACAAATCCCCAATGCTAGGTTTCTGTTCATTTGTTTTGAACAGACATTAGTGCAGCAAATTACAGTTTGTTCCACCTAGCTGCATTAAGTCCTCCCTGAGGTAGTTATACTGTACAGCCTCCTTTAGTGCATTAAGAACTAAGCAGTAAACACAATGCACTCTTGCATAGGTCTTTTTTTTTTTTAAGTTACTTGATCACAATCAGCTACAAAACTGAGAAGTATCTCTTGTGTTATAAATGTACAAAATAAATAGAATAATGAAAAATAAAACTTGTGCAGTTTTTGCACTCCTGTTGTGTATTTCTGCCTAGCTCCGGCGATTGGCACATCTGGATGATGCCGTCTGCCCACTACGCCCCTCATTATAACAACTTCAAAAACTGTCATTTATGGTCATACAGAAAATGAAGAAAACAAACATGCCGCTTTCTGCCGTCTTCTATGAAGTTAGTGGAGCGTGTCACACAAATTTTTCGCCTTTCGCATACATTTTTTCAGCGTTGTTAAAATGATCCCCTTTCACACTGATCTGTGAAAACGACTAAAACGCTGTATTCTGCTGCCATGCCAGTAGTTGGCGATGCCACTTTGTAAAAAAAAAGACGACACGCCTATAGACCGAACACCTAATACGCATGCACATGACGTCACCGTTTTCACAAATTCACGGTTTTGTTGTTTAAACAGAGACAAGAGCTTTATCATTTTCAAAAACTTGAACTTTGAAATCTGTTTTCAAGTTTGTTTTCAGACCCCCCAAACTCGTTTTTCTTCCCGTTTTTAGCTGGAAATGGTGTCGTGTGAACGGTTCCTAAATGACAGGCTGCATCATACTTTGTTTTCAAAGTCATTTCAGTGTAAGTTCCAGTTGAATTTTCCTTGATTTACTATTTTTTTTTTTTTTATTCTTGCATTTTCATAAATGCATGTTGTTAAATTTTTATTTAAAACTTGTTTTATTTGTAAATAAAGCAAATTATTTTTTTCATTTTTTCACATTTATTTTAGTGATTATTAAAAAACTAATCTTTCTTAGAGCACTTGATTACAAAATTATTTGCACATTCATATTGCAGGGATGTTTCCCAGAAGTTTTTGTCAGTGCCCCTGAGATTTTAAGTGAATATTTCAATAATTTAACAACACATTCTCATGTTCATGGTTTTCTGATGTTGGTTAATAGTCACTTGACATGTAGGTAATAAAATATAAATGAGTGCATGTTTCATTTTCTTGAACAACAAGTACTAAAGAATAGTAGTTAGGGTTAGTGGTCTGTTAAAATCCTCAAGCATGAAAAACAGCAAACTAAAATGTGAACGGCTGGCTTTATGCATTTTCTGGGAGTCAAGATTTACAGGATTTTAAAGTGGGCATGAAACGGAAGTTGAGTCTTTTCTTCCCTATTGTGACGTATCTGAATGAAACGGCTTCTCACACAAGAAAATCAAATGTAGGGCAGGACTTGATTTTTTACATGGGGAATTGATTGGATGTGTTGCTGGATCATTGTGGTTTGCTATTGGTCGATCTGATGTTGTTGCAGGCGGGAGGGAAAGTTCATTTGATTTAAGATTACGAGCGCACGTCAATTAAAAAAATTAATGATGTGCACAGATACATTTATTAAATACTTCAATATTCCATAAAAAAAAGAATTTTCTATTTTGATTTCATGGTGACTTTAATATATGTGGCTCTGAAGTTCTCAATTGTTTGCAATTTTATTTTCTGGGTAATTTCTTGCTTTGCACTGGGATTTTTGCAGTATTACTCCTGGAATAGTCCCATTTTTAAGAGGAAATTGCTGTCAGGATTTCTTTTTTTATTGTATTTTAAACATGTCAAATATAAATGTAGTTTTA